AATGCTCAGGGGTTACTCCTGACTCTGTACTCAGGAATTACTCCTGGCGGTGCTCAGGGGACCATATGGGATGCCGGGTCGGGCACGTGCAAGGCAAATGCCCTACCCGCTGTGCTATTGCTCCAGCCCTGGTAAAGGTAAAGGTAAAGGCAAAGGCCTTCCCGTTGATCGTCGATTTGCTCGAGCGGGCCCAGTAACGTCTCCATTGGAGACTTTGTTGTTACTGTGTCTGGCATATCAAATACTCTCGGTAGCTTGCCGGGCTCTCCGAGAGGGGCGGAGGAATCGAACTCGGGTTGGCAATGTTGGCCGCTTGTAAGGCGAACGCCCTACCCGCTGTGCTATCGCTCCATCCCTAGGGTTAGGGTTAGGGTTACCTTTACCAGCCCTGGTAACACAGAATATTTACATTGCTTTTAATCACCAAAAAAAGTTCATCATCTTCATCATCATCATCTTCATCATCATCATCTTCATCATCATCATCATCATCAGGAGAAAGCACACTTTGAAGTCGGTAGATATGTTCATGGCATTGACTATGGTTAGGATTTCATATATAGTTATTCACAAACTCACCAAGTGGTATAGATTTTATATCTAGCATACCTCAATAAAATAAGTGACATTTTTCGTAGTCCAAAGGAACCTTTTGTTGTGGGATGGTTCCCATGTCATGTTAAGGTGGCCTAAACACTAAAATCCTGCCAGCTGGATTGGTGTTTCACTGCAAGGACCCAAGGGATGTGATGCAACTATCGACTATAGTGTGGGAGATGTCCCCAGCCACACAGCAGTGTGTGGGGCCCCAAGGCCATACAAATTAGGCACTTAACACATAGTAGTGTTTGGACGTTTATAGAAATACATTCAGTGATGTTTAGAATACCATGTGGTTCTGGAGGTTGAACCAGGGTTGACCGCATGCAAAGCTTGAACCTTAACGTCTGTAATAGTTCTCTGTCTTCCCCCCCACCCCCCAACCCCACCGCGGTAATCTTAAAGCTATGCTTGAAATTAAAATAAGAAAAAGGGGTAAAAATATAATTCCTTCCTGATCACTATTCTTTCACAGGAACTGTTGCATGCTTTATTTCACTCAGTTCCTATTGTACCAGAATAAGTATGTAACATGAATTTTATTCACAGTTGATTCATAAATTTAAAATGAAGAAAATGGAGGGGCCAGAGCGATAGCACAGCAGGTAGGGCATTTGCCTTGCACGTGGCCAACCTGGGTTCGATCCCTGGCATCCCATATGGTCCCCCAAGCACTGCCAGGAGTAATTCCTGAGTGCAGAGCCAGGAGTAACCCCTGAGCATTGCCAGGTGTGACCCAAAAAGTAAATAAATAAATAAAATAAAATGAAGGAAATGGATGGTCAAGGAAAAGGACATGAAGAGGAGAATAACAAACTCGGACCTACTGTCTACACTCTTTTACCTCCGAAAGGGTACCTTCTCATTTCTGCAGGCACATGGACTGTGTGTCAACAGAAGATGAAGAAAGATTAACTTAGATGAATGTCTATTTTGTAGATAATAAAAGGCAAATGTTAATATAATGGGTTGATTATAAACTCCAACAGCAGAGGTGATGATGGTTTTAATCTCTGCTGCGTTTCAAGTACCTAGTAAATATTATCAAATGCCTAAATAAACTGGAAATGAAATGCAATACCAATGAAATAAAATTAACAGCATATAAAAAAGTGCTTGAAAATGGACCCCAACCTTTTACATACAAGAACCATCTATAATTTTTAATGAATTATGGCTACCTGGAGAAGTTCCCTAATACTTAAAAGAAATGGGAAGATTTTCCAAAGAAAGAGAAACTATAGACCATGAATATCTGGGTTGAGGTTCTGAGAAAAGTTGTGGTTTCAAACTGCTGCCTATTGATTCCTCGGGATGAGAGATGTATGCTGAAAGTAGATTATAGACCAAACATAATGGCCACTCTATACCTCTATTGCAAACCACAACACCCTAAAGGAAGAGAGAGAGAGAGAGAGAGAGAGAGAGAGAGAGAGAGAGAGAGAGAGAGAGAGAGAGAGAGAGAGAGAACAAAAGGGAATGCCCGGCCACAAAGGCGGGGTGAGATGGGGGGATGGGGTGGGGGGTGGGAGGGATACTGGGATCATTGGTGGTGGAGAATGGGCACCGGTGGACGGATGGGTACTCAATCATTGTATAACTGAAACTCAAGCATGAAAGTTTGTAAGTCTACAACTGTACCTCATGGTGTTTCACTCACACTGTCTTCCCACTGTTCATCGATTTGCTCAAGTGGGCCCAGTAACATCTCCATTTTGAGACTTGTTACTGTTTTTGGCATATTGAATACATCACATCAAAGGGAGCTTGCCAGGCTTTGCCATGCAGGCGAGATACTCTCGGTAGCTTGCCCGGCTCTCCGAGAGGGGCGGAGGAATCGAACCCGGCTCGGCCCAGCTGGTTGCATGTAAGGCAAACACCCTACTGCTGTGCTATTGCTCCAGCTCACTAATAATAATGATAAAAAAAAAAAGTGCTGCCTATTAAGAAAGATGACGTCGCAGGATCAAGTGATAGTACCGTGGGTAAGGCCCTCAGCATGCAGGCAACTGACCTGGGTTCCATTTCTGGCATCAAATCTGGTCCTCTGAAACAATCAGTAATGATCCCTGCACACAGAGCCAGGAGATAACTAAACCCTAAGCATGGCAGGGTGTGGTCCAAAAGCCAAGGAAAGGGAAAGGAAGGTAAAGGGAGAGGAGAGGAGGAGACAGAAGTCCAGGGGAGGGGAGAAAAGGCAGGAGGAGAAATGGAAGCCTGCCTCTGAGAGGAGGGGAGCAGGCAGCTGGAAGAGAGAAGGGATCACTAAGAAAATGATGGTTGGAGGAATTGTTCGAGATGGGAGATGTGTGCTGTAAGTAGATAATGGACCACACATGATAACCTCTCAGTATATGTATGGCGAACCATAAGTAGAGAGAGTATGGGGAATATCGTCCGCCATGGAGGCAGGGGAAGGGTGGGAAAGGGGGGTATACTGGGGATATTGGTGGTGGGGAATGTGCACTGGTGGAGGGATGGGTGTTTGATCATTGTGTGATTGTAACTCGAATATGAAAGCTTGTCACTATCTCATGGTGATCCAATTAAAAATAAAAAGAGATGAATGCAATCTTTCTATGTCCCTTTTTATTTTTAATTGAATCACCATGAGATAGTTACAAGCTTTCATATTTGAGTTACAATCACACAATGGGGTGTGGGAAGGATACTGGGATCCGTGGTGATGGAAAATGGGCAGTGGTGGAGGGATGGGTATTTGATCATTGTATAATTGAAACCCAAGCACAAAAATTTGTAAGTCTACAACTGTATTTCATGGTGTTTCACTAATAAAAATTAAAAAATAAATAAAAAGAGAGAAATGCATTTCTAAACCCATTGTTTGACCAGGTGACCTCAATGGCAGAAAAAATTACACAAGATAAACTGAAAAAAGTTTAAAATAGAACAGAGATCGGCTGTTAACATTCTAGATACAAACACTTGAATACATAAAATGCCTACGTCTTTTTGTTAACTGAAAAAGAGAGAGGGTGGTATGTGTGTGTGTGTGTGTGTGTGTGTGTGTGTGTGTGTGTGTGTATCTTTATGTAAAAATATGATGCTTCTGTTCCACTATTATAAGACTATATGCCTTTAAGTTTTTTCAGGTAAGGTGAATGACTGATTCTTTGCAGTTCCTCTTGCTTTAATTCTCTCATACTTACACCACACAACTGACAAAGTTGACAGTGTGAAGCATATAAGCCTCAAGCCCTTGAGAGACGGCCTCAAAACCACAGCCTTGAACTTGGCAAACAGAATCATGAATGGAAACTCAATTTATCAAGGAAACTCAATTTCTAACATACTGCGACTTTCTAAAACAGAAAAAAAAATTTTTTTGAAGTAAAAACAGGTTTTATCTGGAAGTTTGGGGCATGCATGGGGGAGAAAGAACGAGTAAGGTGCTCAAAAGAGAAAAAAAAGTCTTCTTCAGAGTGGAGAGTCAGCCCCAGGTACACGTGCCAGAGTTAAAACATGAAGATATGCAAGTGCACATCTCAAGAGGAGGGGTGGGGGCGACAGGTGCTTAGACACTACACGTGCTTAACAGCACAGAAATCCCCTGGGTGCCCCTTCTTTGTTCCAAGTTGGCCTTTAAAGGGTTTTCCCCAGCTGCCCCTTGTGGGGCTTTCTACCCAGGTAAGAGTTTGTTGCTAGGCAGGTTGTCAAGTTGATGCTAGACAAGACTGAAAGAAGTTTAGCACAATCTTAAAATTACACTCGACAATTTTAGTTCACTAGTTTACCCCGGGCTGGAGCAATAGCTCAGAGGGTAGGGCGTTTGCCTTGCACGCAGCCAACACAGCCGACCCGAGTTCTATTCTTCCATCCCTCTTGGAGAGCCCGGCAAGCTACCAAGAGTATCCTGCCCACACGGCACAGCCTGGCAAGCTCCCTGTGATGTATTCAATATGCCAAACACAGTAACAACAAATCTCACAAATTGCTGTGAGAAGTTACTGGTGCCCGCTCGAGCAAATTGATGAACAATGGGAGGGCAGTGCTACAGTGCTCTTTTAATTTGTCATTGTTAGTTAAACTTCATTTATTCCAGTTAATGAAGTACATTTTAAAAGACATGCAGTGAAATATAACAACAGATTTGTAGATAGATAATTAAATAAATCTTTAGATCTTTGATTAAAAACATAAAGATAAATAAACAAGATGAATGGCAAGCTCCCCGTGATGTATTCGATAAGCCAAACACAGTAACAAGTGTCACAATGGAGACGTTACTGGGCCCGCTCGAGCAAATCGATGAACAACGGGAGGATAAAGATAGTGGTAGTGATAGTGATAGTTCACACCAGTGTTATTTGTAAAAATGTCTTTTATCAGCAGACTTTTCTAATGTTTCCTCACAAGTTACAGAATAAAAAAATTTATACCTTGTAACCAGGACTACCAGGTAATCCATCCTTTCCATCCCTTCCTGGTTCTCCCTGAAAAAAAAGAAATGCAGTTTTTTTTTTACAGTAATGTTTACTTTTAAGGAAATCTGAGATATTTTGTAATTGAAAGTAAAATGTTAAGGAACTCTTCCAGCAAACTCACAGCACGTCCAGGAAGGCCAGGATAACCAGCATTTCCCTTTTCACCTTTTGCACCCTGCGGACAAAACAAACACTTCAACATCAATTCATGCCATCATGTTTGAAAATAAGACCTTGGTATCCTCGAGTTCCATCCATGTTGCCGCAAGTTGCATGATCTTGTTCATCCCAAGAGCTGCATAATATTCCATTGGGCATATATGCCACAATATTTTGATCCATTAGTGTGTAGCTGGATGTTTGGGTTTTTTCCTTATTATGGCGATTGTACTCAGTGTGGTGATGAACTGGAACTAGAGGATATCATGCTGAGTGAAGTCTGGGATGATACAGAATGGGATACGTGCAGAATGATCTCTCTCATATGCGGAACTTAAAATTATAGAGCAAGGTAGTAACTAATGTCCACAGGCAACATAATGGGAGGGCAGGTCCCCATAGTTAAGTTGGGGTGGGGGTTTGGGTAGGAGAGCCCATGGGGTCCTTGAGAGAGGGAGGGGCACCCTGGTGGTGTGTGTACTATTGAAATTATATGCATGAGAAACCATTACTAACAGCATTATACATGACAGACTCTCAATTAAAAAAATTTTAAAAGACATTGAAAATGCTGGGCACATGTATATCCTATTAATCTAAATGCAGATATTTAAATATTTATTACAATCCTGTGAGAGAATAGCGTTCAAGAAGAAATTGGATTTTTACCCTTTTTTCTTATTGTTGTTACTTCAGATGTAATTATAATCCTACCTCATTATAATATCTAAATATATGCATATTGAAAAAATTTTAAATGATAAGAATTTTAAAGTATAAGAAAGAATATTCTACAGAGAAATAGGAAGGCCCTAATATGTATCTATTGCCTATGGACATATTGTTGAGTAGTTAAATATTTCTAGCTAATATTCACTGTCACTGTCCTGTTGTTCATCAATTTGCTCGAGTGGGCCCAGTAACATTCTACAAACATAAATTTTAAGCTTACACAGCGGGTAGGGTGTTTGCCTTGCACGTGGTTGACCCGGCCGACCCTGGTTCAATTATTCTGTCCCTCTCGGAGAACCCGGCAAGCTACCGAGAGTATCCCACCTACAAGGCAGAGCCTGGCAAGCTCCCTGTGACGTATTCAATATGCCAAACACAGTAACAACAAGTCTCACAATGGACACATTACTGGTGCCCACTCGAGCAAATCGATGAACAATGGGAGGACAGTGCTGCAGTGTTACATGTGTTCTTACAGAAGACCATACTCAACATTTATTAGCTATTTTTCAGTTGTTCCAAATGAATCTTTGAGAAAGAGGAACAAAGCTATAATTGTTCTAATGGTGAGCCGGAACCGAAATTATTGTTTTCTATTATTATCACACTGAAAATTTCAATATAGATACTTTGTCTTATGATACCTTTTTGCCATAAAATCCAGGAGATCCTTTATGTCCCTTGGAGCCCATTTCACCCTAAAAGACAAATATAAACATTAAATTTTAAAGAATTATGATTCCTCTTAGCAAGTAAAGTATCATTAACTTTAAATAGCAGACTTCAATATATGAGTCAACATAAGACAAAATAGAAATAAAGTATTTTAAAATTCATTTGTAGAAGTCTTTTTTCTAGGCTTTGGAAAGAAAAATAAGGAAAAATGCAAACAGAATCTATAACATGACTTATCATTAATGAAATTTCCATAGAGTAAATTTATTCATCAATTTTCAGTACTAGAAGTTCATAAAGTTTATGCCTGGAAATTTAAGTTTTATGTAAATAATATTAACCTAATCTTTGTTCATCATGTTTATCTTTATGTTTTTAATCAAAAGATCTAAAGATTTATTTATCTATCTACAAATCTATTGTTATATTTCATTGCATGTCTTTTAAAATGTACTTCATTAACTGGAATAAATGAAGTTTCACTAACAATGACTAATTAAAAGAGCATTGTAGCACTGTCCTCCCGTTGTTCATCAATTTGCTCAAGAGGGCACCAGCAACGTCTCACAACAAATTGTGAGAATTGTTGTTACTGTTTTTGGCATATCGAATACGTCACAGATAGCTTGCCAGGCTTTGCCATGTGGGCGAGATACTCTCAGTAGCTTGCCAGGCTCTCTGAGAGGGGCGGAGGAATCGAACCTGGGTCGGCTGTGTGCAAGGCAAATGCCCTACCCGCTGTGCTATCATTCCAGAGTTCCAAAAGAGCATTGTAATAACAATAATACAAATTCCCAGAAACTCAATTATGTGTTTCTAGAAAAAATAATGCTAAACAAAAAAACTTTCCAAGTTGAACAGGGGAAATTGGGCCTGGGGCTATTCCCAGTGGTGTTCAGGAACTATTCTTGGCTTTGTGCTCAGGAGTGACCCCCGGCAAGTGCTCAGGGGACCATATGTGTTGCTGGGAATCACAGTGGGTAGGGCGTCTGCCTTGCAGGCAGCCAACATGGCCGACCCGAGTTCGATTCCTCGGCCCCTCTTGGAGAGTCCGGCAAGCTACCGAGAGTATTCGATATGCCAGACACAGTAACAACAAAGTCTCCAATGGAGACGTTACTGGGCCCGCTCGAGCAAATCGATGATCAACGGGAGGGTCTTGGCCACATAGAAGGCAAATATTTTGCCTCCTGTACTATCACTCTCCTCCACACTTGAAACTTAAAGTAAAATTCTTTTTTTTTTTTTTAATTTTTGGGTCACACCCAGCAGTGCACAGGGTTTACTCCTGGCTTTGCACTCAGGAATTACTCCTGGCAGTGCTCAGGGGACCATATGGGGTGCTGGGGACTGAACTCAGTCGGTCACGTGCAAGGCAAATGCCCTACCCGTTGTACTATCGCTCCAGCCCCTAAAGTAAAATTCTTTATAAAAACATTTGTCTCTCTCATAGGTCCACTGCCCATATTGATGGATACCATATGTAAGAAGCTAAAAATAAAAATGACAACAAGCAGCTTTTTAAAAGAAAGCTGCTGTTATTAAACTTTTGATGATAGTTGACTTTGTGCTTAAAGCTCATAAGAGTAAACATTTTGCAATTCTTGAAATGTTTAGTTGTTTTAAAAAATATGATAGTCATCAGTCTGACTTAAAGACTCATGTTTACATCAGAAAAGTCAAGAGATTGATTCGATTTTAATGCTTCTGAAACCCTATTTCAACGCATCTTTAATTACATTTTGAGCATTCAAATTCCGTTTATAATGCATGTGTAATAGCATAATACACTCTCAATTCAAATGAAATATGACATCCCTAATTTAAAGGAAACATTTCTTTAACCTTTGATCCTGTCATTCCATGAAGCCCAGGGAAACCAGGAAGTCCACGGTCACCCTGAAAATAAAATTGAAATTAATTAAAGAAAAAACATTCTGCCAAAGGAAATATCATAAATTCTTCAACCGCAGTCCTGTCAAAAATTAAATGTGCTGTTAAATGCAAATTAATTAAATTTACAGTTAAATGAAAATTACTTTAATAACTTACCTTTATGACAGAGAAATCTTATTTAATAGTTTCATGTATGAACAAAGAAGAAAAACTGAAGGCTTGAGGAAACTAACTAACAATTATGACTCCACTTTTAGCATCCACCAATTCTTTAAAATACTTAAACATTTACAGTGACAAACAGGAGTTAACTGAAGTGATTTAATGCTAGCACTCTAGAGAGTCATCCTTTGAGGGCCCATCCAGATTAGAAAGGATATATATAATATATGTATGTATATATATATATATATATATATATATTGCTTCTTGGGTCACACCTGGCAATGCACAGGGGTTACTCCTGGCTCTGAACTCAGGAATCACCCCTGGCAGTGCTCAGGGGACCATATGGGATGCTGGGAACCTGGGTTGGCCGCGTGTAAGGCAAACGCCCTACCTGCTGTGCTATTGCTCCAGCCTCAAAAGGATATATTCTTAACTGAAAATTATGACATTAAGTTTACAGGTTACTACAAAGCAGTAGTAATTAAGACAGCATGGTACTGGGCTAGAAACAGACCTGCAGACCTGAGGTCTGGAACAGAGTTGAATATTCTGTCACAGACCCCCAAATATATGACCACTTAATCTTTGACCAAGGAGCAAGAAATGTGAAGTGGAACAAGGAAAGCCTCTTCAACAAGCAGTGCTGGGAAAACTGGATAGCTACCTGCAAAAAAATGAACTCTGACCTCTGTCTAATGCCAGGCACAAAAGTCATATCAAAGTGGATTAAAGACCTCAATATCAGACATGAATCCATAAGGTACATAGAGGAAAATGTAGGCAGAACTTCCATGACATTGAAGCTAAAAACATCTTTAAAGATTAAACAGCACTGACCATGCAAGTGGAAGCAAGCATAAACATATGAGACTACATCAAACTAAGAAGTTTCTGCACTTCAAAAGAAATAGTGACCAAAATACAGAAAGAGCCCACAGAATGGGAAAGAATATTTACCCAATACCCATATGGCAAGGGATTAATATCCAGGATACACAAGACACTAGTAGAATTGTACAAGAAAAAACCTCCAACCCCATCAAAAATGGGGAGAAGAAATAAACAGAAGTTTCCTCAAAAAAGAAATACAAACGGCCAAAAGGCACATGAAAAAATGCTCCACATCGCTAGCCATCAGGGAGATGCAAATCAAAAAAACAATGAGATATCATCTCACGCCACAGAGACTGGCACACATTGCAAAGAACAAAAGCAACCAGTGCTGGTGTGGATATGGGGAAAAAGGGACACTCTTCCAATGTTGGTGGGAATGCCCACTAGTCCAGCCTTTCTGGAAAACAATACGGACAATCCTCAAAAACTAAAACTTGAGCTTCCATATGACCCCGCAATATCACTTCTGGGATTATATCCCAAGGATGCAAAAAACTACAGTGGAAATGACAACTGTACCTACACGTTCTTTGCAGCAATGTTCACAATAGCCAAAATTTAACCCTAATCAAATTCTCTGAAGTTGTGGAAAATCTGAGGAAGAGATTTATAAGAAGGTGATCCATAGTGACCACATTGTGTCACAATGGTTTATGTTCATTGACAATGCATTTGAGAAAACAACCAATTCTGACGAGTTCGATTCCTCTGCCCCTCTTAGAGAGCCCGGCAAGCTACCGAGAGTATCTCGCCTGCCAAACACAGTAACAAGAAGTCTCACGATGGAGACGTTACTGGGCCCGCTCGAGCAAATCAACGAACAACGGCAGGACAGTGACAGTGACCGGATTGAAATCAGAGATTTATATATAAATGCATATATTGTTTCTCTTATTTAATTCAATAGAATCTGTGCCTTCTCTTAAAAGAATGGCACAATGGCCCCAAATAAGAGAGTAACTGTGATTAACACACTTATAACATGACTTTTTCTTTATTTATGTTTTAAATGTGAGTACATCTATTCCCATGAAACTCATTCTACTGCTACGAAGATGAGCAAATTATAAGACCCTTTTGAAGGTCTAGGAAATATTAGGGACACTCATTAGACACAAAATTTGTACTACTTCCTCAGGAATTATCTGATTATTCTTGTTGCTCTATCCCTCTAACTGCCTTCCCAGGTTATACAGCTGCTTGAACTCATTTCATCTTCTCTGTTTCTTTTCCTCACCCTTCCTGTTTTCCCTCATGACCAGTCTGACCATTGCTTCCCCAGAGTCAACCACCCATATCCACATTTCAGTTGCAATGATGCTGTTTAATAAGTGAAGGAAAACAGCAAATAGTTATTTAAGAAAAACTGCACTAGAAACCACACCAAGTACTTTTAATTTATTGTTTCATTTAGTTCTTACAACATACTTACAAAGAAACACTCACTGTGTCAATTTAAAAAAGTAAGGCTCAGAGATATTAATATGCCCAACATAAAATAACTTAAAAGTTGCAGAGGCATTATACTCCATAGACACTTTTTTTAGCAATCAAAATTTTATGCAACCAGCATGAGAAACTATAAAATCATAAAATAGATACAGTTCACATCTGTGTATCTAAGATATGAATGCTGTGCATTTTTAAATTTTAAAATTTTTACAATAGGAATATACCTTATTAACACAATGCCAAAGTATCTAGAGAAAATAAATGACTTAGTAGAAAACATCTTTTATCAAACTGTGGCTTTTTAATACTGTGGTAAAATATCTAAAGTGTCTCCCAAGTATATCCCACTCACTTTTATTTCTGAAATCTGTGACATTATGTCAAGATTTTTTTCCCTGTTACTTTTAAAAAATATCCTCACACTAATGTCCCCTTACCTCTCTCTCCTCTTCTCCTAAGGCAACCTTAATTATATTGATCCTATCTATAGGTGTAGTTTATATCTTGTTTCCCGTTTCTGTCTGAGCATGCTATTTTTACGACACTAATATTTCATCTATTATAGTAATAAAACTGGTACAGGTTTTATCAAATGGAAAGATGCATAAAAATAATTTACACATACGACTCTGCTTTAAAAATTAAGTTAATGGAATCAAATTCAACAATGTATCAAAAGGATGATACACCATGCTAAGTGAGATTTGTTCCAAGGATGTAAGGGTGGTTCAATATACAAAAATACTATAGTATATCATACAAAAAGAAATATAAAATTACATAAATTGTATAAGTAGATGCAGAGAATTTTTTTGACAAGATTCAACATCCTTTTATGAAAAAAAACCCTCAAAACGTTATGGATACAAAAAAAATAATATGGATACAAGGCTCTGTATCAATTGAAATTGTGCAGCTTGATGCTATGTGGATGGAACTGGAAGGTATAAAGTGAAGTGAAATAAACCAGAGATAAAAAAGACCAATTCCAGATGATTTCACTAATCTGTGGTGCAGAGAAAGATAAGATAAGAGAATAGACAGCATTAAACAATTGAAACCCAAGCACAAAAATTTGCAAGTCTACAACTGTACCTCATGATGTCTCACTAATAAAAATTAAAAAAACAAAAACAAACACTGTCCTCCCATTGTTCATCGATTTGCTCAAACGGGCCCAGTAACATCTCCATTTTGAGACTTGTTGTTACTGTGTTTGGCATATGGGCAAGATATTCTCGGTAGCTTGCCTGGCTCTCCGAGAGGGGCAGAGGAATCGAACCCGGCTCGGCCGGGCTGGCTGTGTGCAAGGCAAATACCCTGCCGCTGTGCTATCGCTCCAGCCCAATAAAAATTAAAAATTAAATAAAATAAAAAAGAAAGAAAAAAAGGCAAAAAAAAAATCATTGGCCTTGGATACCCAAACAGATCAACAAAGAGTGTGGGACAAAAATTGAACCAGAGATGCCATATGGACAGTGGTGAAGGGTGATGGGTACTTTGGTGGGATGGGGTGGGGTGGGGGGGGGGCTAAGGCTGAGAGCAGTAACTTTATATCAATACAAGCAGGAGAAGGGAAAGGGAGGAGGAGTTGATGGTAGTAATATCATTAATTCAAGAGACTAATGGCCATGCACAATAAACTCATTGCCACCATCATGCTCAATGGCAAGAACTGAAAGCTTTACTTCTTAAATCAGGCACAAGAAGATGTCCACCTTTTTTTTTTAAAAAGTATCTTTCAATCTCGTTTTGGAGATATTCCCCACAGCCTCAGGCAAGAAAAATAAAGCAAAAGGATCCAAATTGAAAAAGAATAAGGTAAAATATCACCATTTGTGGATAAAATAATATATTTAGAAGACCCTACGGAACCATTAAAATATTTTTGGAAACAATAAACCAAATAGCAAAGTAGCAGTCTACAAAACCGATGCGCAGAAATTGGTTGTTTTCTATATGCAAACAACTAACTAGAAGATCAAGAAATAAAAAAGAACCATATTTAAAATAGATTTCAAAAACATCAAACGCATAAGTATTACAAAGGACATAAAAAGACTGTAAGTGACTAAATAAAAAAAGATATCAGGAAGTAAAAAAAATACTCCCTGTTCATGAATTGGAAAAATTAACACTGACCAAATCGTATAGCCATAGAATTATAAAGATTAATACTAATTCAGGAAATAAAAATATATTCTGTGTTCATGGATTGGAAAAATTAACATCGATTGACCACATTCTATATCCAAAGCACTATACATATAAAGAGTAATTACCACCAAAATTCTGAGGATCTCTTTCAAGGAATTCGAATAAATTCTACTAAAATTTACAGGGAATCATAAAACTCAGGAAAAAATTCTGAAAAAAAAAGAGATGGGAGGTGTCGTATCCATGACTTTATGTTATACTATAAAGCCATAGTAATCTAAACTGCGTAATACTGGAATAAAAGAAGACTCTCAGTCCAGTGGCACAGAACTGAAGGACTAAAGATAAATCCTCAGAGATATAGATAGTAATCTTGATGAAAGAGCTAGGTACGTGAAGTAGAGCAAGGTAAGCCTCTTCACCAAATTGTGCTTGGAAGACTAGACTGACACATGGAAACTTTGAAACCAGTGTCGAATACACATCACCCACAAAAGTTCATTCAAATTGGATGGAACTCTAAGATCAGAGCATAATTCACAAAATACATTGAGGAAAACATAGACTTTACAGTATATGGAACTCAAGGTATCGTCAATTATTTGACTCCATTGGTAAATTAAAGTGGTTTTGCATGGCAAAAGAAATGCACTAAACTTTCTTTAAAAAGTCTTAAAAACTTTTTAAAAAACCTCACAGATGGAGAAAATAGTTGCGCATCATAAACCACATAAGGGCTAATAGCTAAAATATGTAAAGCACTCACAAAGGTCAGCAACAACAAAACAATAATCCTATCAAAAATGGGGAGAGGAGATGGACAGGTATTTCTCAAAAGAGGAAATAGGTCAGCCTATAGGCATCACCATCATTTATCAGGTCAAAAAAAAAAACAATGAGATAAAACTGCACACCGATGAGATTGGCGTGTATCAAACAAACTGGAAACAACCAGTATTGGCAAGGATGTGGTAGAAAAATAAAACTCAGTGTTGGTGGGAATGAGGTCTGATTCCAGCCTCTATGGAAAACGGTAAAGAGACTTCTAAAAAATATAATACTAGAGCTTCCATCTGGTCCAGTAATTGCACTGCTTAGTATCTATCCGAAAATAGAAAATCACCTGTTAAAAATACAAATGAAAGGTAGTGTGCACTGAAATGCTATGTACAATAGCTATGATATAAAACCAATACAAATGTCCAAGGACAAGTGAACAAATAACATTGTGGCATATATGCATGATGAAATAATATGTAGCTATAAATTACAGAAGACAAAATTTTATTGTTTGCTGCAACTTGAACAGAAGCGAAGGACATCATATTAAGAAAAACAAATCAGAGGAAAGAAGGAGAAATATTCTTCTGTAGAATATAAACAAAACAAGAGAATAGACAGTATCAAAACAATGACAAACTCTTGGCAGTTGTTAACGTGATTGAAGTTAACAAGGAGACGTGAAACACAGGGTGGTGGGAGGTCGTTTCAAAGTGACATAAGGATAGTGGTGGAAGATTCTGGAAACTTTGGTAGTGGTTAAGGTGCAATAACTTTATAGTCCACAGGGAGGTCTAATACCCACCCAACCGAAGCTCTGGCAGTAGAACTCACACCTACCACTACAAGGGCTCAACTCCATCACTTCATATAGATTCTCTGCAGAGACACCAATCTATGAATAACTTCAAGTACCCAAGCTGAAAATACTGGTGTTTTTTTTTTGGAGTTGGGGGTGGGTAGCCTCCTCCTTACCCCCCATACTTCCAAAAGCCCCTGCAGCCACACCCACCTCCCATACCCCCAACCGTATTGGCACATCGACCTAGACCATAGATCCTGAAGTCTCTGGACTGCACAACACTTCCTAACGCAGCAAAAAGCTTAATTAAGTCTCAGACAAGGACTTCATAACCCAGCAATCAGAAACAACAATTTCCACATAAATTGACATCTATTCATTTTAATATTTCAGTTTTGTTATCTAGTCCATTATAATTCTAGAATTGTATCAGCAGTTGTAGCTTTTTTCTACATTAGTATAATATTTTTTTAACATTATAGTTCCAAAACATACATAAGACTTTTATATAGTCCCCAAACATATTTGTATCCCTGGAGATCCTATTGGCTTTAGTGACTGGATCCATGAAGTGACACTAACATACTTTAAAAGCATGGACTCTAGTAAGTCAGGCAAACCTAATTGCTGCAAAAAGGAGAGTCAACGATATTACAGTACAGTATTATCTGTACGTCTTAGAATCACAAAGTGATAAATCCAGTAAAGCTAATCCAATGGGCTACCTAGTAAAAAATAAAGTAAAGGCCCTCCCATTGATCATCGATTTGCTCGAGCGGGCCCAGTAACGTCTCCATTGGAGACTTTGTTGTTACTGTGTCTGGCATATCGAATACGTCACGGGGAGCTTGCCAGGCTCTGCCGTGCGGGCGAGATCCTCTCGGTAGCTTGCCGGGCTCTCCTAGAGGGGCGGAGGAATCGAACTCGGGTTGGCCATGTTGGCTGCGTGCAAGGCAAATGCCCTACCACTGTGCTATCGCTCCAGTCCACATGTGGGCTACCTAGCAGACAGATAAATATTAAAAGATGCAAGAGCCCTGGGTTGTTTGAAACAAGCACAGTAACACATTCCATTTGTATAGTTCACTGCACTCTAAGGAACAGCTCCCCATGGAGTTTAACCACAAGGAGAGAACACAATTATCAGGGCAATGCCAACATCTAGTCCAGGTCCTCTATGAACAACCACTTTCATTTAGTGACAAGGTGTTCTCCTATGAACTTTATTATTCAATGATGACCAACAAACTTCTGAGCCTACTAATCTTCAAATTCATCGAAGTGAAGACTAGGAAGGGACTCAGGGGTAAGATCCTAAGTCTTCCCGAGGAAGTTCCTTGTCTTCCTGAAGCAAACAGGTGCATATTAGTTTGCATGCATTTACCTTTTCACCATCTCTCCCTGGTTCTCCTTTGTAACCTGGCAGTCCTCGAGCTCCCTGAATGAGGCACAACATAAAATTCTGTTAATTTGGCTCACTAGAATTTGTATTTCTACAATGTGTAGAAGTGCATCACGTACTTGTATTCCTGGAGATCCTGGAACACCGGGGGATCCTGAGAGTCCCTGATACCCCTGTAGAAAAGAAAATAAAAAATAATTATTCATCTTATTAACAAAGAGCAGCCCTCCATTTCAGGACTAACTTTTCCCCCCTCAAGTACCTTAAAGCTAAGAAAGCCTGACTGTTTAAGAAACTAATGGGTCCAATACTTAATTCAAAATTCCTATTTATATATATATAGATAGAAAAGAGGTGTTAACTATATCTATATTAATATAAACTACCCAATAGTGTTTCAGTAGAAAGGATATGCAGGTAGGAAAACAGCACTAGTCTTCACAACTCCCAAAAAAATGTTCTATACAGCTGAAGCATACTCAAAATATTCAAGAAAAAAACACTGAAAGAGGAGGATAAAACCAATGTAATAATTTCCTCCCCCACTATTACGGCAACTGAACCAGTCACAGCCATGCTTAAGACCACTTTCCACATGTTCAGACGAGCCTCACGCATGAAGGAACCAGCAGAGGAACCCAGGTGTGCAGGACCCGGGGTGAAGATCTCCAAGCCTGCTCGGATTGGGACGGGACTGGGCCTCCTCCACCCAGATCCCCCATCTTCCAGTAGCTAGGCTTTACACCCACCAACTGCCCCCAGTGCCGTGTAATCCCATCAATGGCCAAGACCCAGAGACTATAAAACCCAGCTCCCAGATATCTTATTATGTAGTTCTTACTCTGGAGAACCTGGCAGGCTACCGAAAGTATCCTGCCCACATAGCAGAGTCTGGCAAACTCCCCGTGGCGTATTCAATATGCCAAAACCCAGTAACAATGATGGGTCTCATTCCCCTGACCCTGAAGGAGCCTCCAATGTGGCACTTGCTAAAATCTCAGGCTAGGACGAATGGACATGTTACTGGTGCCTGCTCAAGGAAATCAATGAACAACAGGATGACAGTGACAGTGATACCAGATCATCCAAGTTAACCATTGGAATAAAGTAAGCCTTGGTGGTCCATTCTTCATTCTGAGGGTCTCTGCCTCTCACTCTAAGATGCTTAACTCCTCTTTTATGTAATGGAGTCCCTTCAGCTCTCTCTTCTCTAGAGAAACCCAAATTCTCTCTTGAATGCATGCTTCACACTCTGAAGCATACTCAAAATATTCAAGAAAAAAACACTGAAAGAGGAGGATAAAAGCAATGTAATAATTCCCCCCCCCCCACTATTACGGCAACTGAACCAGCCATGCTTAAGACCACTCCTATCTCCCTAAATAAAATTATTTCACTTTGCAAAAAAAATGCAGATCAATGAATATATTTCATATACTTGAGTACGTAACAGCTCCTGATGGCTCATTTCAAAAATCCACGGAAAATAACTAAAAGAATATGGCTGTGACTTGCCGTGTATTCCCCATTCTCAAAACTGTGCCGCCTAGCTGAGAACACTTTTATCCCTACTGCTTCATGCATATCCCCCCAGAATCTGGGTGAAAAGCAAACCTTCTGAGGCGTAAATTACTTTTTCCTCGCTTTGCACATGATCACAAAACTCCATGTCTGTCTGATCTGAACATTATTTTTCTAGGTTTCCCAAACTCAACGTCAACTTTCCTAGGACCACTCTGGTTGGCATCTACAAACACGTTCTACTTGAACTTAGATCCCACCATTTACCTACTCTGTTCAGATCCCATCTTTCTCCGATTTGACTGTTTATAAATATCTTTCAGCTGTCGAACATTTACACAGATTTTTTTTATTGATGTTTCCAATTACATCTTCATTCTTTTCGGGTGACGAGGTGGACAGCTGGGATTTGGGGTCACAACGGATAGTGCTCAGGAGCTAGTCTTGGACCTGTGCTCAGGTCTATGACCATATCTGTGACATCTGTGACCATCTGTACTGTCAGCAATGAACCAAGGACAGCTGCATGCAGGGCAAGTGTCTGATTTCCTTTACTTTCTCTCTAATCCTACATTTTCATTGTCAACTCTGCAAATTTCATTTCCATATGTTTTCCATGGATATTTGTACTGCATTTACCTACTCATAGTACACAAACTATAATTTCAGAGACCTATTTTTAAGTACATTACCTACAATTTCAGAGATACTGTATGTCCCAGATTTTCTGACATTTTCAAATGTCAGAAAATAAAAACAAGAGTTTTTATTAGGTTTTATAATAATCACAATGGCCATTTCGGAAATACCAGCCTTAATTTAATATTTCTGGCATTATAGGCACTTGTGTTTTATATCTTGTAAAATGCTCTTAGTTACTCCCAGATTGATGACTGTGTAAATTTTTTTTTTTATCACCAAGCCTCATCTTTTCCTTCACTTATTCATAGAACAAAATAATCATGCTTTCATCAGATTTTTTTTCTTTTTGGTTTTTGGGCCACACCCATGGTGCTCAGGACTTACTCCTGGCTCTGTACCCAGGGATCATTCCTGGTGGGCTTTATGGAACTGATGGGGTTTGGGGGGATTGAATCCAGGCTATCCAAGTGCAAGGCAAGCACCTAACTTGCTGTAATATCTCTAAAGCTCCTCCAGAATTTTTTACTTCAACTTTCTCTTCAGTCTCTTGCCTAATTCATACACATTTTACTTTCTTAGTGAGTTTTATAACCAACCTTTCTGTGTTAAGACCATTTTTATTTTTCAAACATATTGTATGTTCTCTGGGTGGACACGATTCAGTGCCATTAAATTCTGGGCCTCCCTGAGCTTAGACACTTGGTCTGATACACTCCGATAGCAGTGAATAGAGGATTTGGCATATTTTCATATCCAGAGTGCACACAAGTGTGAAAACTTCCCAAGGAACCACATTATGTTTATGTAGCTTTCAATAGCAACCTGAAATTGAGTACAGTGATATAGTTCATGTTAAGATCGACTTAGAAATTTTTTTACTTGCCATGATCATCACTTTAATCTTAGAAAAATATATGTATTTTTAATTTAATAAATCCTGGATCCTTTTAAAAAAAAGATTGGTCTAGAGAGACCATGAAGTCTGTCTACATCGATTTTGTTCAGCCTTATGTCTTTACCACCGTCTTTATCACAGAATCCCTTTCCCTCAACAACTCTGGAACAAAAGAGGCCGGAAATTGAATTTCAGTTCTGTCACTGCTTAGGGACATACTCAGAGCTACATCACTTATAATGCTGTCACCCAGGATGTTGTTTAGATGATTCAGAAACCTCTCTAAAACGTCTGACATTTACAACTAGCTCTTGCAAGTGGGAAAAAATTGGGAAATTTGTAAAATTGGTAAAAGTCACTTAAGTAGTATTTACCACGTTCTGGATTAAAGACTTCACATGTACTAATTCACTTTAATCCTTACAACATCCTTAAAAAAAAAAGTTACGTAGACTCAAAAACAACTTCTCCAAAGTTGTATCACTAGTAAATTGACAGTCATTCGTTTGAAGAAAATGATTCATGGTGGATCAGGTCTTCTGATTATAGAATGTGTAATCAGATAAAATAAGGCTATTTTGCCAGTCTGCTTTTAACTTGTTAAAAATGCTGAGTGCACAGAGGAAAAGAATGTTCATGGAAATCTTCAAAAGAAAGTTTCTATGGAAACTTGCTATTTATCAATATGGTTGGTCATCCGAAACAGTCACATTTAATAGATTATTTTCTTTCAGATTTTTCAACAGTTAAGTTAAATGTCATATTTGTGTTAGTGCTTTCTCAAAAAATCCAGATTTTGCAAAAAAGATCGAATGCTTCGTACTGTTTCTCCTCTTTAAAGAAGTTAATGTAGTCCCATTTGTTTATCCTCGCTTTCACACTCTTGGTCAGTTTTTTTTTTTTAAATGTGGGAATACTGCTATTTATTCAGCTATTGATTAGGCTTATTGAATTGGGCATAACTCCATATTACCTTTTTATTTATTTATTTATTTATTTATTTGCTTTTTGGGTCACACCCAGCAATGCACAGGGGTTGCCCCTGGCTCATGCACTCAGGAATTACTCCTGGCGATGCTCAGGGGACCATATGGGATGCTGGGAATCGAACCCAGGTCAGCTGAGTGCAAGGCAAAAGCCCCACTCTCTGTGCTGTTGCTCCAGCCCCTACTTTTTTTTTTTAAATTGAATCGCTGTGAGATACAGTTATAGAGCTTTCATGTTTGAGATTCAGCCATACAATAATTGAACACCCATCCCTTCACCAGTGAACACTTTCCACCACCAATGTCCCCAGTAAGTCCCCCTTCCCCCATCCCAGTCCTCACCCTGCCTCCATGGCAGACAATTTCTGCAGTACTCTCTACTTTGGGGCATTATGTTTTGTTCAAAATTTTCCCACCACCATTCAAGTCTTCCTGCCAGGGGAAGATGCTAGATCATTTATAGTCCCTTGCTCATTTTGCATATCATGGGTGCTATAGACAAACATTTCTGGAATTTTAGATTGTAGATGGTTGGGTTCCAGAGACATTTCTGTAGGGCATTAATCCATTTTGGGATTCAGTTGGGTATCTCTGGACCAGGACTGTTGGTGCACTAAGATGGCACCTTGGAGGCACATTGAGGGTGTGACAGCCAGGCCTATGAGCAGGTGGGGAGCCGGGGAGGGACAGCCTGGTGCCTTTGTTGCCATGTGGCAAGGAGATTTATTCCTGGAACTTGCATACCTGGGCCTTGCTTGTGGAAGCTCTTCGTCGCCGGGATTCCATCTGGAGTAGGCGGGGAGAGTGTACCTGCTCTGTCCGGGGTGCACCAGTGAAATTGGCTCCTTATGGGGCCCAGAGAGATCGCTGGCTCAGTGGAGTCTTCTGGGACTCAGTGCTGTGTCTCTGGCTTTTGATCTCTTTTGAGATTTATCTATGGGTCTCGGAAATAAGGCCATCAGTGAGCTTGTATAGCTGAGCCAGAGGTGGCTTGTGGGCATGGCTCCCACACACTTAGTTTATGGCCATTTAAGTTTTTGTAAACTTGGTCCCAAGTTCTTGGGCCCCGGTCAAAGGAACAGCAATTTTGGGGTGTCAGGAAGCCTGGAGGCACCATCAGGTTGATGCA